ACTGGGTCTGGGACTCAAACCACAGTTGACGACATGGAAGTCCACCTACGTAACCATTACACCACCTGCTGGCCCTGTCACCTGAGGGATTTTTTAAAACATAGTTAACTAGGTTCTCCTCTTCAGAAAAGAGCCCCTGAGAATGGAGACCAGGAATATACAGCTGTGAAAGCACCCAGGTCCTGGTCTTCCTTGAGATTAGTATCCCTGAGGAAACCTATTCTAATACAGGGCTTGATCTAATGAACATAACCTTGAATGGTGCATGTATGAGTTCTTACTGAATATTTTGTCAAAGACACACCACCAGCCAGCATGATACACAGTAGCCAAAGGACAGTTAGACTCTCTCCCATAACAGGTGTAGTTTAAATGCTGCTTCCTTTTGACAGTGAGACAGCTCAAGTACTAGGAAGAGTATCAGTACCGATTTAAAAACAGAAACAAAATGTACTGTTTCAAATGACCTCTTGTAGTCTCACTGGCCCAGCTAGACACGGCAATGGGGGCAATGGGGTCGTATGTCCACAGTACAGCTGGGTCTGGCTGTAACCATGCAGAATGATGTGTCAGCCCTCTCCTCTATGGTAGTTCCATCAAAGACTAGCCAGACGAGTGTGTGTATCCATTTTACTTTGGGGAAAGACAATACTTGTGATTAGAGCCTTTCTGTACTTTTGCTAGATTTATTTTCTGTAAAAAAGAACTCATAAGGATTATAAAATCTCCAACTTTCTGAACTGCTTGAAATGTTATTATTGCTTCAAATTTATAGAGGGCTTTCATGACCTGAATATCCCAGTCTTGCAAGCATTTGTTCTATTGTTAAAGACATAGTGAACTGGTATCTGGGAGTTTTATTTGCAGGGAAATGCACAATCCTGGCATGTGACCTTAATGGAGGTGCACATAAGATAACAGAGCCTTGCATTGGGAAAATGAACTAGATACTCAACTAGAAAACTTTCTGCTGCAAACCAGTTAAAAATGTAAAATATAGCTACCATAGAGCTTAATTGTACAGTGGTAGTTTCAACTTCTGTACCAGGAGACAATTTTTTTTTGCATTTTCTTGGGATTGGCCCACAGCTACAGCAATATTGGACAGATGTTCTTAACTCTAAATGCAGTGCAGAATTACCTATCATTTCTTTGCTATGCAGATTGAATATTTTGCATGAGCATTCAAAAACGCATGTTTATTGTTTGAACTTCTTACGTTTATCGTTTTCTACCACCAAATGTACTGTCTACAGATGGAAAACTCAAGAGTGTTTGATGGGTGGTGAAGAATTGCTCAAAAGAACCAGTTACACACAGAGAAACATATTACACATAATGTTGGGAAGGGGTAGATTACACAGTTACCAAAATATGTACAGGAACCATCCTCGTCTAGAAGTGTTTCAGGGATTCCAAATGATCATAGTCAACAGCTGGCCCTATTTGCAAGACTTGGTCAATGGAAAACACTGCTGCTTTTCTCTCCCTTATGATTCCCAGCCGTCACCGTTGACATCTTTGTGAAAGCAGAGTGGCATGAGGCCTTATCACTACTGCGCCTTATTACCCTCGAATGACAACCATGGAAGCAGGCAAGGTGATTAAGCAACGTGGCAGCCTATTTTATGCCTTTACCTTTAAAGACAACCAAGAGAATCTTGGAGAAGCGTTAGAGCTTTTAGGACAGGAAACTGCTGTGGAATATTTATTTTTAAAAGTCAATGACTTTCTTGGAATAAGGTTGCTAATCTATATACATATATATACACCCCCTCACACCCCCCCCACATATATATTTTTAATTACAAAAGCAATTTTAAAATTGTTTTCAGAAAAAATAAAAGCATGCAAAATACAACTCTTACTGGGGTGACCAACCTTTTTGGAGTTGGGTGATTTTTGTCATCACTTCAACTGTTTTGCAGGAAAGTGCTGTATAAAATATTTCAACACTAAAGATGATTTTCTGTCGAGAATATGGGGTAACTTTAACTGCAAATATGCTTGAGAAGGTTTAAACTAACTGTATATATAGTCTAGTTTTTGGGTCTCAAATTATTAAAATATATTCGGTGTGGTCAGAGATACACATTTTGGATAACAACTGGTCAAGTACATGCACACATTTATAAGGAAGTCCTCCAAAAGTCCGTGGAAATGTGTATTAGGAAAAAAACTATGCCTGGATTTCAAGATTTTTTGCATCACCAAAATAAACTCATATTTCAATTTGTTTTCCCAGGAACTTCTAGAACTTCTGAAGTCTCCTCTTATTGTCGCTGTGGGGAGACAGGGACCCCAAACGGGTCTTGCCGGGTCAGCCCCTCAAGCCTTCCAGCTAGCCTAGATCCTAGCCATGCCCATAGGCACACCATGTATATTCAGCACAATCTGAGAACTGAACACCCTGGCCTTCCCATAAAGCTCCAGTATCACGCAGTGGCTTCCTACCACCTGCATTGCTGGGCTTCAGAAAATCCTTATACACTAAAGTTCAAAACCTAATCGTCTGGGAACCAGCAGTTAGTGTAATGGCTATGTCGCTGGACTCCCACACAGTCAATTGCAGTTCACATCCCTGACCCGGTGGCTTAAAACTCATGCCGGGCGCGTGTGCGTGCGTGCCCAAGATCCCGAGAGGAGAATGGAGGAGAAGGGATTACGGCGTGACCATCCCCCCTGGGGGGTGATTTCTCGCTTTCTGTCTCTATGTCTCTCTCTGTCTGGCGAGCGCATGTGCCCTATGGCGAAAACCTCTCAAAAAAAAAAAACAAAAACAAAAACAAACAAAAAAATAACACCTAATTGGTGACTGAAAAGGCACTCTCTTCTATCTGGCGCATGCTGGTATCATAAGTCAAATTTCTGATAAGTCACTTAATAAGAACTTACCAATTGATGAAATATATAGCACAGGAGTGTCCAGGGGGGAGAATTTCCTCTCCCATGGCCTCAGCTTATAAAACTTAAGTACTGGAACTTGAACTGGAAGAAACGGTGAATACTAATCTTTTGAATGCATCCTCATATGAAGTAAATGCAACATGAAATATCTAAGCTCCATCAGACAACATCTGTCAAATTTTAAATGGAATATTTATAACTTTTGCATTTTGAAGATCTAAGTCTTGTCTCACACTACCCAATGGACTCTGCAACATTTCTTCAGATAATATGAGTAAGTAGGTCAAAAATACTCTCAGAAAAACAAAAGGTTCTTTATTTCTATTTATTTATTTATGCAAAGACAGCAATAGGCATTAGGAATATTTTTTAAGTTTAAAATTAATTTTCTATTTTGAAAGGTTCAGGACTTTGTCTCTTCTGTGTCTCTTCAATCTTAGTCTTTTAAATATTTCACTCCAACAAAATAGCAGAAAAAGCTTACTCCCTGACTTTTCCCCTAAGGTCACATTTGGATAATAGGAATTGGCTCTTTAAAATTTAGGTATCATTTATAGTTAAGCTGGATATTTAATCACAGAAGGATACATGTTAAGAATGTGATAGCACACACAAAAAAAGTACAGAATGCCAAAAAGGACAAATTTCAGGGCACTTTCAAATGCTGAAGGGTAATAAAACCCTCTTTAGGGATCCTTAAGTTAAAAAAGACTCTTCCCTGCAGATTCAGAATGAAAAATTATTAGAACTTACAGACCACAAATAGGCACTGGTGATAGAGCTTGTGGTAGCTACACTAGGTTAGGAATAAATGGAGTCTACACATTTTAGGGAAGACACGAATGCAAGAAGGGCCAGAACCCACTTACAAATCATGTCCAGGGAAGGGCAAATGATGTTGATGCAACTGTCTCCTTTAGAAAGGCTACCTTGTTGAGGCTCAGCTCTCAAACTGCTCATACAGCTGTTTCCTTCTTTTCCCTTCTTTCCGTTACCAGTTCTAGAGAGAAACCGCCTGGAAGAATGATAGCTCATGCTGAAGACTGTGTACATGGCAAAAGGACTCCGGTGCAAACTGCCTGCACAATGTGAGTGTCCACGAGGAGCTCAGCTCATCTAGAAGCAGACCATCAACTCTCACCTTTACCACACTCTCAGGATATGCAAACAACTTCTATAGTTTAGGAACATCAAAACTATCTCCTTTGACTCTTCTAGACATATGTTACTTTACAAAAGGAAATAGGCTAACAAACAAAATTAAAATCTATTTACTCTACAACAAAAATATTTTAATGTTTATAAAACAATTCCTTTAAGATACTCTGATTAACCATTCGGTGACATAAAAAATTTTCAGCATTCTTTAATATCAATATTTTTGCACAATTTAAGATATAGCCATTGAGTTTCGCATTTCAAGGGGAAAAAATTCAAGAAGAAAAAAGAATGGTAACTCACTGAGAAGATTATATACCTAGTAAAGTTTGGTTTGTCTTAGATTTGGAAAAAAAAATTAGGCCCAGAATTTTAGTTATCCTAATTACCCTCTCAATCAAATAGGATATATATGTGGATTCTAGATAATGGATAAAATTTTTTAATCAACTTAAGACCCAATGATTGGACTGTTTGCTTAGAATCTGTTTTAATGGGTTTAAATAAGGAAGACTGCAATAAAGTGAACTATATAATAATTCCACTGATTAAAAATGTACTTTTAAAAATTGTTTTTGTGGTAAATTTCAGACAAATTACAAATAAAGCCCAATATTATAAACATACTGCTCCTAGATACCTGTTAGAAAAGTGAAATGCTTAATATGAGCTATCAAAATTCTGACCTTTCAAAATAGGGCTTTTAAAACAAATTTTGGAAAACCATTTTTTTTAAACTATTTAAATTTCAACTCAAAAAATTCTTACAGGTAAATCTTACAGCTATTCTTTTCAGTATCAGTTATTTTTTAATTTCAACTATATATTCAACACAGAAACAGTTTCTAAATAAACTTCTAAGGAAGAACAATTTCAAGATAAAATAAAACTAGACAAGCTAATAAAATCTAATATAACTTGTACAATAAGTCTGAGTGTGATTTATCAAAATAGTGGTGAAAAACTTTCAATCTCTTCATAATATTCCAAACCAGCAACTCCCCATGAGACTAGCAAGTTAGTGGAGAGGGTCAGACAGATTTAAGCACTGCCCGACTTCTTCTGAAGTGATGTACTCTTTTATCCTGGAAAAGACAGAAACAGACTCTTTACTGAGATTTTTCCATTCTACTATGACCTAAGAGAGACTTGAAAAATACTTTATCTTTTTTCTTTTTAGGTTTAAAGATGACAAACAATAAGGAAAAAGATGGTCCTCTTGGGAAAGCATTCCTGAACTTTAGGATAACAAACAGACCAAGATGACTAGTTTTAATAAACAATTTAGTTAGTACAGAAGTATAGGACTTATTTTATACACTTTTAGTGATTTGGCAGAGATGTCTCAAAGATAGGTAGTGGAAATTGTATATAATTTTAAAAAGCATTGTTTTTACTAACTAAACCACATTTAATAGAAATCATAGCTGAAAACAGCACTTCAATTTACTCTAAAATGCTGTTTTTAAGTTAAAAGATACTGGGACCAGCAGTTAGCATAATGGGTATGTCACTGGACTCCCATGTAGTTGACTGCGGTTCGCGTCCCGGACCCGGTGGCTTAAAACTCACACCAGGTACGTGTGCGTGCGTGCCCAAGATCCCCAGAGGAGAATGGAGGAGAAGGGACTGTGACGTGGCCACCCCCCCGGGGGGTGATTTCTCGCTTTCTGTCTCTCTCTTGTCTGTCTGGCGAGTGCACGCACCCTATAGCAAAAACCTCTCCAAAAAATAAAAATAAAAATAAGTTAAAAGATACTAAATTTTGGCATAAGGCATACATATCCTTTGCCTCTGAAGACACATCACTCTTTAGGAAATAAAAAAAAAATTTTTTCAAATACATGCAGAATTTTGTGTTCACTCTACGTGGCCAACAGAATGAAGTGAGGCCTTATAAAGAGAAATAAGACTGAACAAACCAGTAATATCACAATAGTATATTCTTTTCCATACAGTTAGTCTGAATTCAACCCATAGGATTTGATACTAAATGAATTTAATCCATAGAATTTAATGCATATGATTAGATCCTGTATCATCAGTCAATACTATAACACTGTTTTCAGGTTAAAGCCTAGGAAAGTAAGTTACAAACTCTTATGTCTTCAGAGGTCATGTAGGAGGAAATAAGAATCTGAAGGATATGGAATTAAAAGAACATAAAGTGGATTTACCAGGAAAATAGTGAACGTATTCAACTGCCCCAATGCATCAAATTCAATGAAAACATAATCATTTAGCCAATTAAAATAGGTCTAGATGGCACACAACTGCAGGCTGCCAAAAGATTCCTAACCCAAAGGAGTAGAAAACTGAGCGTTCAAAGGGAGGCTTTTGTCTAATATGAGGAGAAAATCCAAGCTTAAAAACTATTTTCTGGGGGCCAGCAGGTAGCATGGCAGTTAAGGTGCTGGACTCCAACACGGCAAACCATGGTCCTGGACCTGATGACTTACCTCCTTCCCCCCCACCCCCCATCTCTGTCTGGTGAGCACAGGTACCCTATAGCAAACTTAAATATAATAAAAAAAATTAATTGAAAAACGATTTTCTGCAAGTACTATTTAACCTCTAGAATTGAGGGCAAGATAACAGCTCCAGTTCCTCCCTAGCTGCACTACCTATGCAGGATAAAACGACAAGAGAACAAGCGTGAACTCTCAATGGACATGTTTACTCTCTGTTGCAAAGACGGCTGGAAGGTCATCCCACCATGGTTCTACTCTTCTGCATCACAGAAGGGCTTCCGTGTACTTTAGTATACCCTTGAAAAGGTGGGGGTTTAAAAATTATTTATTTTATTGAATTTAATTTCATCAGAATAAGAGTGAAAGGGAAAGTGAGAAAGCAAGCCGCAGGTTCCGGACTCAAACCGTAGTTGGCCACGTGGGAGTTTAGCACCCTCAACCACCATGCCACCTGCCAGCCCCATCCTCGAAAAGCTTTAAGCTTCATCCTATGTCCACTCACACATGAATAAAGGTTATTCTCACTTTTAGACACAAAATGATTAATAACCTTTCTTTTGAATGCAAAATGACAGTTACTGAGGGAACCAGCAGTTAGCGTAATGGCTATGTCGCTGGACTCCCACGCAGTCGACCACAGTTCGAGTCCCAGACCTGGAGGCTTAAACTCACACCAGGCGCGTTTGTGTGCGTGCCCAAGATCCCGAGAGGAGAATGGAGGAGAAGGGATTGCGGCATGACCATCCCCCCTGGGGGGTGATTTCTCGCTTTCTGTCTCTATGTCTCTCTCTGTCTGTCTGGTGAACACACGCGCCCTATAGCGAAAAACCTCTCAAAAAAAACAAACAAAAAAAACAAAAAAACCCAAAAAAAAAAAAAAGGAAAAAATGACAGTTACTGAAAGGTTATTCAGTTACCATGACTCATCAATTCCATTCCTAGGTATCTACTCAAGAGAAACAAAACATGACCACACAGTAACTTGTATTCAAATGTTCATAGCATTAATCATGATAGGCAGTAGGTAGAAACAACCATATGCCTACGAGCTGATAAACAGTTAAACAGAATGTGGTGTATTACAAATTTAAAAAATGAATACGAGCTATAGTATTGGTGAACCTTGAAAACATTACACTAAGTGAAAGAGGCCAGTCACAAGAGGGCACATATTGTATGATTCTACTTACAAGAAATGTAGATGTCCCAAACAGGAAAATTCTTAGAGAAAGAAAGTAAACTAGTGATTGCATAGGGCTAGAGTGATTGTGGGAAAAGAAAATGACTGCTAACGAGTAGGTGGTTTATTTGGGGAGTGAGAAAAAATATTCTTAAACTGACTCTGGTCCTGGTTGTACAACTCTGTAAATACTGAAATACACACTTTAAATGATGAATTTTATTATCTGAACTACATATCTCAATAAATCTATTATTTAAAGAAAAACTGCCTTTTACTAAACATAATGTTCCTTCCCATTGGATTGATCAGTTAGTTCTTTTACATATTCACAAACACAACTAACGGATCCCCACAACCTTTAGTCATATGCTTCCATTCTTTAGATTTGTAAAAACTGGAGCCTTAATTAAGATGAAATGACTTGTCCTGAAGCAGGATCATAAACCACAACTTTCATAAATTCAAACACACACTTTTCTCTTCCAACTCACTGAACCGACTTCCATGTCTTTCTACTCAGCTTTCAGCTGCTCCACTTTACCGGTTCTCCCTTCACACTGGTTTACATTATCAGCTACGCGACTCACTTCCTTTGTTCTCTTTATCATTCATAGATTAAGTTCTCCTTTCTTTATCTCACGTTTTACTATTTGATCAAGCAAATATTTCCTTTTGATTTTTGTCTCTCATGAACTCTTTCAATCACAAGCTTCAGCTTAGGGTTTCTTCCCCAAGGACAAACTATACTGTATCAAGGTGTGAACAACATTAAATACACTGTCAGGTAAAACCCATGCACAGTAGACTACTGGATTCATGAAACACAAGTATAGTTTAACTAAATATGCCACAGGAAAAATAGATACTTCAAAGCTAACAGACCTACTTTAAGCTAGTACACTATTCCTTTCATACCTTGAAGTAGTCATCTTGAGTAACAAGTGAATTTCTCAGTCTGTTCTCTGGATTAAACAGACAAGATACCACAGTCTGTACACTTCGGTCCACAGATTTCTGAAACACAGAAGTTATCAGTCACCCAAAGACTACTCTTCTTATTGTTTTTTATTTTTTTTAAAGTTCAGTGAACATATACACTTATTTCTAAAACATTCTCATGTGATTCATAATTCTGACAATAAATCCCTTGGTATGTAAATCTTCTGTCAAATTAAATATTTAGAACCTTAGTGATAGAATACTGATTTAAAAAGCTGAATTAAAGTGAAAATATATGTTGCATAAGGCTCTTTAATTGCACATATTAAGAAATAGTGAGCACCAATATTTTAAGAAAATATACTCAAGACCCGATACTATAATTGTATTGTAAGCTACCTTAATACTTTTTTCAAATTTTTTAATTATGATTAAATCAGGGAATTTTTTTCATTTTTTGGTTTTATAGTTCTCAACACTTTTCTCCACTGAGAAAGACAGTCTCTTCTCAGACTATTATTATTATTATTATTATTATTATTATTATTATTATAGAAATACACTCTAATGATTTAACAAAAAATAATAGTAAAGGGCCAGCCCTGTAGCACCGTGGAAAGAAGCTGTATCTCACATGGCCAACTGCAGTGTGAATCATGGCCCCAGTGGCTTGAAAAACACACCAGGTACAGACGTGTAGCTGCCCCAAATCATGACGGGATGGAGAAATGGAGGAGAAAGGACTCCAGCACGATCACATCCCATTGGGTTATCTCTGGTAGGCACACACAACCTCTGACAATGAAAACAGAAGAAACACACTGTCTGCTTCAGCATTTGAGTAAGGACTGCAGACTACACTGGAGAGCTGCTACCATCTACAATGTTATGGAGGAAACAATGTAGTAACGTAATGTGTATTAGTGTTCAGTTACGTAGTATTTAAATTGTTTGTAAAAAAACAAGCTAGACTAATTCATATCAATCCTTCAAATAGGATTCTTCAAGAAATGTGTCCATTATATTCAGACAAATCATATTAACACAACATTTATCGAAGTATGGTTAAAAAATGGCACTGAAAGAGAGGCAAGGACTAGTGAATCACAAACTATCTGTAAATACTACAAAGTCTGAGGTTGTGTGAAATTTCTTCAACCTCCACATTTGGGCAGAGACCTCCGCTTCTCAAAGGGTCATTACTAAAACCTGAAAAAATAGGGGACAGCATATGGCATGGTGGTTAAGGGCACTGGACTCCCACATGGCCAATTGCAGATCAAGTCCCAGACGTGGCTGTTTGCTTTCGCACTTTGCCCCCTTCTCTCCCTCATTCTGTCCCTCTCTGGTCAATTAAAATACATACATAAATTAAGTTAGATAATTTAAAAAAAAAACTTGAAAAAATAAATATGAAGCATAAATATTAATAAAAAATTAGATGTTTGCCTTTTGTGGGCCATTTCCAGAGGATGGAGTAGCTTCGTGAACTAAACATTCATTTGACAAAACTTCAGCTCCTGGATCAACTTCATTACAGTGGTAGTTAACAGTTGTATAAGCCTACATTTAAAATAATAAAAGTATAATTAAAGAAATAAACTGATAATTTTCTAAGTAATAAATTCTTTTTAAAATTTTCTTTTGAAAGAACTAATCATTCCATTTTATTTATTATCATTATTTTAAATTTGCTCTAGGGTATACATATTTACCAGAGAGAGACAGAGAGGGAAAGTGAGAAAGCAAGCCACCAGGTCCAGGACTCAAACCACAGTGGGCCACATGAGTGTACAGTACCCGAAACATTATGCCACCTGCAGGCTCCAGCTATCTGTTCTTAAATGATAGGCTGATGCTGCAAGTTTTAATGTAATTCATGTTGAAAGTCAATTACGTCATTACAGAAACTTTACTGTAAACTGAATAGTTAAAATGCAGCAAGGTGGGGCCAGCAGGTGACATACTGGTTAAGATGCTGGACTCCCACATGGTTGACTGCAGTTTGAGTCACGCAATTGGCAGCTTGCTTTCTCTTTCTTTCTCTCTCTCTTTAGTGAACAAACATTCCCTATAGCAAAATTAAAAAAAAAATCATAATAAAGATAAATAATTATTTCTTAAAAATGCAGCAAGGCAGCCTTTTATTTTCAAATGTCTTAGAAGTTTCACCATAATCAGAATTAAAAGGACTCCAAGAGAAAGAAACTAATATGTTGTAAGGGAGTGCCTTAGTACATCCTTCTAAAATCCAATACTAATGAAAGATGAAAGTTAACAAAAGCTCAGGTGTTTTAGAGGTAGTGACGCTTTTTGTTTCATTCTTTCTTATAACAGTATTAAACACCAAAACATTTGTCTCTCTTCAACTTATTTTTTTATGGGTAGCAAAACCAGAGGCAGATTTTAAGCAAATTCAACGTTAGCTTTAAAACCTCATTAATACCACCATTCTTGGAACACACATTCTATCAACAAATAACCATACTCTTCCTAGGCAAACCATCCGATGCTTAAGTACACAAACACTTGAGAAACAAAAAGTGGTTTCTCCCATAGGAATACAGAACACACACAATATCGAGAACACTGAAAAGTATTTGTAAATATACATTAAATGGGATAAGGTCAAGAAATTTGTAATAATCAAATGAGAAAATACTTTTAAATAAAGTTTAGAAAATATGTTAAGCTAATTCACTTTACCGGAGGTATAACGTAACTCCTTTGTTCACCAACAGGCCACTGTGGTGGCATCTTAAAAAAAAAAAAAAATTATTCAAGTAATACCACACTTTTTCACAAAAATATGAGACAGATAATGTTGAGAGATTATCATGCTGGCTCTTTTAATGTGCTGTTACAAAAAAGAAACAGAATGGAAGAAAGTACTTTATACCTGAGATTCTTATTATTAATTTCCATATATAAACCCTCCCTTTTTTCAATTTTCTGGAATCAGCACTTAGGAAAATTCAAAGGTGGTAGTATATCAGGTCATTGGAAAAGTCATAACATATTTTTCTACGCATCACGACTTTTCTGATGACTCAATAGTTCTTACCACAGATACATTCATGGGTGATAAACGTAGTCATACTTATAGGGAAAAAATTCAGAGTACTAGTATTCTGTAGGAGTAACTAAAACAAATATTATCAAATATAATTAGAATTCTGTACTCTTAAAAAATGAGTAATAATTCGGGACCAGCAGTTCGTGTAATGGCTATGTTGCTGGACTCCCACATAGTCGACTGCAGTTCGAGTCCCGGTGGCTTGAACTCACACCGGGAGCCTGTGTGTGCATGCCCAAGATCTCAAGAGGAGAAGGGATTGTGGTGTGGCCATCCCCCTGGGGGGTGATTTCTCACTTTCTGTCTCTGTCTCTCTGGCAAGCGCACGTGCCCTACAGCAAAACCTCCCCCCCCCCAAAAAAAAAAAGTTAATAATTTTATTTCGATCTATTCCCCTAGAAAAATTTGTAAAAGTTTGTCTGGATGTTTCAGCTATTTGACAGTGATAATGGAAGAATACATGTTGAACTATATAAAGGGGACACCAAACCCTAGAAAATAGTTACTGAGGAAAGTTCTTGCTCTAAATTAATTCCCATCAAAACATCATTCCATTACCTCTACAGAATAGAAAGCCCTTTATTCTAGACTAATTCAAAGTTTTTAAAAATTGGGGACAGTAGGTGGTGTGGGGTTAAAGTGCTGGATCCCACATGGCCAACTCCAAGATTTGAATCCCGGACCGAGATGCTTCAGTAAAATGCCTGGAACATGTGCCACGTGTGCCCAAAATCTCAAGAAGGGTTTGGAGAAGGGATTGGGAAACGGCCGTTTCTCACTCCCCACCCCTTCCATCTTTGGTGAACACACATACCCTATGGCAAAAAATTAAAGTGGGCAGGCCCCATAGCCCAGTGGTTGAGCACTGTGTACTAAGAGCTGGATTCCATATAGTTGACAGCAATTCAAATCCCAGCCTTGGCAATTTGAAAAACACAATGGGGGTGTGTGTTTATGTGTATGTGTATCCCTAAAATCCTGATGGGGAGGAAAAAGGATTTCACTGTGACTACATTCCACTGAGGGGTGCTTCTCTCTTTCTCTAGAGTACACATACCCTCTGGCAAATAAAGATTAAAAAATAAAAACTTAGACATATGTCATTAGTTTAAATGACATACTATACGTAAATAAAAAGCCCTCAATCTTATTCCAACCTAAGTCATTTTATTCCCTTTTAATTTACCTGGTAATTATATACAGGCAGCTGGTATCCAGTAATGACCTGAACTGGTGAACTTGGATAAGGAGGATATGCCTGAAAATAAAGTTTACAGAAAAAATAGATTTGTACGTTAATTTTTTAATTATCAAAAAGGAGTATTATTCCCAATGCAATATGAAAGCTGTACATCTTATTTTTTCCCTATCCAACATCAAGATTCTAAATACATGACTGACTTTATGAAGAAAATGCTCCCCATCGACGTTAGCCTTTCAGGCAGAGCAAAGAGAAGGGTAAATGACAAGGGAAATGGCTGACCCTGCCAGCCCGAGTTTACCTTATTTGTACACTCATGCCTACCCTGAAGTTCTTCCTTACATTAGTTATAAGTCTCTCTTACGACAGATCTGGGTATAAATTAAAGCAGCTATTTCTTTTTTTGGAGAGGTTTTTGCTATAGGGAGTGTGCGCTCACCAGAAAGACAGAGAGAGGGACAGAGAGACAGAAAGCGAGAAATCACCCCTCACGGGGGATGGCCACGCCGCAATCCCTTCTCCTCCATTCTCCTCTTGGGATCTCGGGCACACATGCCCAGAGTGAGTTTAAGGCACCTGGTCTGAGACTCGAACAGTGGCTGACTACGTGGGAGTCCAGTGACATAGCCATTACACTAACTGCTGGTCGCAAAGCAGCTATTTCTTCATAAAAATATTTTAGATAGTTTCTTGTTAATTTAACAATCTTGTGGGGTAATGTCAAAACTTCCTATAGACTTTATGGATATTTCTGTATTTCATTTCTAAAAATTAAGGGCATTTCTATCTAACTCAAAACATTTTACATTTTTCAATAAATATGGATTCACTGAAAATATATAGTTAGTAGCATATATGAATATACTCAGAATAGGTAATGGCTCAACAGTAAATGTTAAGAACAAGTAGGGGGACCAGCAGTTGGCATAATGGCTATGTCACTGAACTCCCATGTAGCCGACTGCAGTTCGAGTCCTGGACCCGGTGCTTAAACTCACGCCGGGAGCGTGTGTGTGCGTGCCCAAGATCCCGAGAGGAGAATGGAGGAGAAGGGATTGCGGCGTGGCCATCCCCCCAGGGGGTAATTTCTCTCTGTCTTTCTGGTGAGCGCACGCACCCTATAGCAAAAACCTCTCAAAAAAAACCAAGTAGGGCTTTTACAGTAGCTATGTTTAGAGCAAAAAAGATGTCCCCTACAGGAAAAAATAGATTTGTACGTTAATTTTTTAATTATCAAAAAGGAATATTATTCCCAATGCAATATGAAAACTGTAAATCTTATTTTTTCTCTATCCAACATCAAGATTCTAAATAAATGATTGACTTTATGAAGAAAATACTTCCCATCAACGTTAGCCTTTCAGGCAGAGCAAAGAGAAGGGTAAATGACAAGGGAAATGGCTGACCCTGCCAGCCCGAGTTCACCTTATTTGTACACTCATGCCTACCCTGAAGTTCTTCCTTACATTAGTTATAAGTCTCTCTTACGACAGATCTGGGTATAAATTAAAGCAGCTATTTCTTTTTTTGGAGAGGTTTTTGCTATAGGGAGTGTGCGCTCACCAGAAAGACAGAGAGAGGGACAGAGAGACAGAAAGCGAGAAATCACCCCTCACGGGGGATGGCCACGCCGCAATCCCTTCTCCTCCATTCTCCTCTTGGGATCTCGGGCACACATGCCCAGAGTGAGTTTAAGGCACCTGGTCTGAGACTCGAACAGTGGCTGACTACGTGGGAGTCCAGTGACATAGCCATTACACTAACTGCTGGTCGCAAAGCAGCTATTTCTTCATAAAAATATTTTAGATAGTTTCTTGTTAATTTAACAATCTTGTGGGGTAATGTCAAAACTTCCTATAGACTTTATGGATATTTCTGTATTTCATTTCTAAAAATTAAGGGCATTTCTATCTAACTCAAAACATTTTACATTTTTCAATAAATATGGATTCACTGAAAATATATAGTTAGTAGCATATATGAATATACTCAGAATAGGTAATGGCTCAACAGTAAATGTTAAGAACAAGTAGGGGGACCAGCAGTTGGCATAATGGCTATGTCACTGAACTCCCATGTAGCCGACTGCAGTTCGAGTCCTGGACCCGGTGCTTAAACTCGCCGGGAGCGTGTGCGTGCGTGCCCAAGATCCCGAGAGGAGAATGGAGGAGAAGGGATTGCGGCGTGGCCATCCCCCCAGGGGGTAATTTCTCTCTGTCTTTCTGGTGAGCGCACGCACCCTATAGCAAAAACCTCTCAAAAAAAACCAAGTAGGGCTTTTACAGTAGCTATGTTTAGAGCAAAAAAGATGTCCCCTACAGGAGGTTCACAGGTGGTGTGGTGGTTGAGGGCACTAGATTCCCACATGGCTGACCACAGTCTGAGTCCTGGACCTGGCGGCTTGCTTTCTCGCCTTCTTTCTCCCCCACCCTCTCTCTGGTTCTTTTAAAATAAATAAATAAATAAATAGGTTAAATCAAAGATATACCCTACATTTCAGGTAGAAAATGTAGACAAATGAGACACTGCAGAACTCTTTCACTATTACTTTGTTTCTTTTTCAACAAAGTGTCTTTGAAAGTGAAGAAAGTAAAGAGAGAAGTAAAATCAGTATTAATAATAAATGTGTATTTATCATGAATAGGAGAGAATAAATATGCCAAATCCCACCTTAACTAGTAAAGTAACCAGGAACAGATAAACTACATACCAGAAACTCAAGTTTACACATATAGTAAAATACATCAGGAGCCTTCACATTCCAGGAACAGAAATATATCCGAAAGTCAGTGATCTACATGAGAAGCTACACAGCAATCGCTAACCTGGGAGAAGAATAAACTAGACAGTCCTGTGAGGACAGCTGCCTTCAGATAGCTTAGCAGTTACATGGGGAAGAAGGGAAGGGCTACAGAGGTCACATCTAAGGTAAAGGCTTGCAAACTAAAGAGAAGCAGATTTTACCTCAGGATATGGAAGAAGACTAAGAACAGACTTCTAATAAAAGTAGTAGACCTCCCATCACTCAAACCACTCAAATAGGGGCTGTGTTGTTCCTTTTGGGGGGGATTGTGGACATAACACCACAGAGGGTAAGAAGACTACATTAAATGAGAAGACGGGCACACAGGCACTTCTTACCTGGACATACTGAGTTATAGGACTCGTCATGGTCGGAGGCTGCATGTAAGTCTCTGTGTTTGGACTACCCCAGACGCTCTGAAACTGCGGTGGAGGAGGAGGGTTAAAGACCAGAGGACGCGGCTGCACATGATATGCACCTTTTAAAATAATAAAAACAAAACCCATTTTAGTTCTTTGAAAAGCAGCACATGACTCAACCAAAACGATTTATTTTATTACTTACATATATTTTGTTTCCTGATTGCAGGGCCCAGTTTCAACTTTTTACCATGGAAATTTATCTGTGACTGAAAATAAAACATCAACAAAACTAATCAATATTTACGTCTTTACTTCCAAGATTCGGGTAAATATCCCAGGACCTATAAAGTTCTTATTACCACTGCCAGAGAATGTCGGTGGTAAGTATACATTAAATCACAATCTGTCACCATGAGGCCCCCTTACTGCTAGTACTCTAATCAAAATATGTCAAGTGAAATCGCATTAGAAACCTTTCACCCTATCTCCAACCAGTCCTTCTCTCTAGTTGCCAAAGCTAGGTTCCCAGTCAAAAAGAAACAGGTCCAGCTGTAAAATTTTTAAAAGTTAAAAGATTGGTCCAGTTACAGTAGCATACACGGGATACTGCTGCTTGCTGGAGTGAGCACACATGGGAGGCCTGGGTTGATTTCTGACATACCCAGCACACTGCAGTCACGCCCATCTGTAGTCCCAGCTATTCAAGACTGAGTCAAAAGGACTGTGACGTGG